CTGCTAATTGCATGAATACAATTACAACGTGGAAATTAACGATACCTCTATCTGATACAAATTGGGCGAGTATGTGGAAACGATAGAAACGTATAGTGATGTACAAAGCGTATTTGTTCTTTTACTTCGATTTTTTTTGCGCACAGAGAAATCTGTTTTATTCATGCGCCTTTGACGCGCTTCTTTTTACTCGATTATCTATAATTTATCGATAGTACGAGCATGCGCGGGAATAAAAAGTCTCGTATCATTTGTATGGAAAGAATTATATTGTTTCTACAGGTAGAATTATATATATACGAAATAAAAGAGCGAAATGATATTTCTGATCCGTTGCGAAGTTCTTTCAAAGGCGCACTTTTAACAAATTAATTTTAAGAGCTACCGCGTTAATTTTTATTATTTGACTCTGTGCCATTATTTAATTTGAATAAATTAGAGCAATTCGAGTTCCACATCCCAATTTACGAAATGTCGCGACATTGATCTCGTATAAAATTGTCACAAATAAAAAGCTAAATTTGCAATCGCGGTTCGTATAATCGCGTAACGGTTATGATAAAAATAGTGTTGTGTTACAAGGCGAAAAGGAAACGTGATACGATTATTGTTTTATCAACGAAAGATTAAGAATTAAGATATTATGTTGTAAGTTAGGTCATCTGCTTGCATGTTTTAAAATTCATTGGCGAGCTTCATTGGTGAATTCGTAGAGGCACGTATTTGAGAAATTTTATCGAGATTCCCAGAAAGATGCTTTTTATCTTGTCATATTTTGTTAGTTTCAAAGTGAGTTATAATAGTAAATTATGTCAAGAATATAATAATAATAAATGAATGTTAGAATAACAATAATAAACGGTATATAATTATGATGAAAGAAAATTATATTGTTGAATTTTAATATCATCTGCATTGAGAAAAAAGAAAGTTTTTCATTCAAATATTTTCGTAATGCTTTTCCGATGGAAGGAATCTAACAGTCGCATTTTGACGCCAAGATTGTATTAATCTCATATTTATCGTTATCACTTAACTTGAAGCGATTTTACATTCTCAGAATTTTAAAATCCATGACGCAGATAAACGTCAGTCTTAAGGAAAGAATTTTAAAATTCCAAGAAAAGTTATGGGGTGACTCTTGCCAAGACCGAAAAGATTCTATATATTAACTGGAAGCTTGCAGCTTCGCGGTAAAAGATACGTGAGAGACGAGTGTCCAGCGAAGAAGTGATTGAATCACGTGGTTTTCCAAACGATAATTTGGGTGCGGTCCATTTTTGACGCTACAAATGCTTGGACGCATTGGATTGACCAATCGAAAGAAAGAATTTCATATAATAATATTAGTTGGTATCTGTAAGTATAATATATACAAAATTTTAATTATCTTTATTTTATATGCGAATCTTGTGACTGAACCCAATATTTTCGTATGTAGTGATGTATGCACAATGTAATATTGGATGTATTTAATATTAAAAATTTTTTTCGGGTAGCTTCAATTCATACTGATTGACCAATCAAAAAATGCTTCGAAGTATTTGCAGCAAGTGAATCGTAGCCTTGATTCTTATTGTTAAAATCGACGTCAGGCTCTTTGACGCGCCATTATGCAAATCGCGGGACATACGCGCGGTTTTGTATCAATTACGGATGCGACGAATTGCACTTTCTGCACGATCGCGCGCGTGAAAGGCGCACCGCATGCATGTCCGGCTATAAATAGGCACGCTAAGATAGCCACGCCTTAATCACTGTAACGCTGAGACGGATAGCGGCGTTAACCCTCTGACATTGTTGCAACAGACATTGTTTTGTAATCCGCTTTTGTACACATTCATATATTATATCATATGCAATGGGTCATCGTGACGGTGATCATGAAATGGTTTAAAATAAAGAATTGAAAAAAATTTGAATATAATTTATGGGATGTTCACTAGCAAAGGTAGATTAGCTCAGGGAGATAAGTTAAAGTAAATACGGACGGATAAAGATTTCGTTGTGGATACGGAAGGTACATGGACTTCAGTTTTGTGGAAAACTGAAAAAAAAAATTTGAGATATTATAATATCTGTCTTTGTGTAACATTAGGTATCCCTATCAGTGTTTATCTCCGTAAATCAATGGATCATAAAATACACATCAGGTAAAGGCTTTTTGTGTATTTTCTTAAATCGTTCCGATTACTTTTCGTAATCTTTCACGAAGCGATGAGATTATTTTCAAAATTGAAGCTGCCCGAAAAAAGTTTTAAATATTAAATACATCCAATATTACATTGTGCATACATCACTACATACGAAAATATTGTGTTCAGTCACAAGATTCGCATATAAAATAAAGATAATTAAAATTTGGTATATACTTATATTACAGATACCAACTAATAATATTATATTTTAGCATTATGCATTTTTTTATGATATAAATTGTAACTGATATTTATCTATTAAAACATTTAATAAAATAAAGAGTGATTCAATGTGGTAGAAAATTACTACAAAATTTTTTTTATTGATGTATTATACGTGATATATTTTAATTTTATTCAATAATTGTCAATCGATTGTTTATTGATTCGTGTTAGATTAAATATGGCGGAAATCAATATTACGTTTTAGCTATTGATATCACTATCTGTAAAATCATATAACTATATAAGCTCGTATCAGAGATACCATTTAGTTTTCATGGTTGCCTAGTTCTGTTTCAACCAATCATGAATCATGATGCAGCAGATTCGAACTTACTAAATTGTGATTGGCTAAAATAGAACCGTCAACGTGGAAATTGGCAAGACGTAGAGGCTTGAAGTCAAAGCACAGATCATTGCATAACGCATAATGCATAAAATATAAAAAAAATCAGCCAATTAATCTTTTATTTCATGAAAAGGAAGGATTTGATTCGTTTCCTTGTACGTTATGCGTTATGCACGACTCTGTGCTCCCATCTTTTTTAGACCTCAGTACAATTGTACTTATATATTTCTCCATTTTTTTATTCTTAAGATGAAAGGTACTTATAATTAAAAGAAAAACAAAACGGATGAAAAATGCAAAATTTAATTATAAAGAATAGGTTGATTGTAGTCCGAATAGTTTTTTTTAATTTTTTTATTCGATCTTGAAGGCTTTCGTCATTCTTGTAATATAGAAAAATTACCATGTCGATAATAAATACCAGAGATTCGTCGAAGTTGACAAATGGCCTGAAGATGGCAGTAGTTTCAACAGCAAATTGATTTATTGTGTTGATAAGTTATGCTGAAATCACGAAATTGCTAACATATAAGTGTATTCGGAAATGGCTGACAATACTGAAAGTTTATAATGTGCGACAGGTGAATTATAGATTTTCAGTATTGTCAGTGCCTGCGTTTCGTGCGGAACGTATCCTATATGAGCTAGAAAATGCATAGAGACAATGTAACACATATATGAAAAGTGATTTAATAAATATAGGCATTAATTTTTCAGAAGCGTCTAACATTGCATATAAGAGATCGAAATTCATCGAAAAAAATATTAATTTTTTTTTATGAATCTCAGTATACACAATTTGGGATTTGTTGGCCGTGTTTTGACACATAGGGGAACCTGGGGGGAACCTATAATGGTTATAGTTAGATTTTTTCAAGTTTTAAACATATTAAAGATAAATAAATCAACTTTGTTATATATTAAAATATTTTTTGAAGTATTTACTATAAGGAAAACTTAAGTTTTACTGCAAAAGTATAGATTAACAGGACGAAATTATTGTTTTGTGAGAGTGTGTCGTAACTTCACTATGTCATTTATGCAGGGCATAATGGGGCACCACAGAAAACTTGTCTATTTTAAAAAAATTAATATTGAACACATTATTTAAAAGTGACTTAGAACATATAATATAAGTAAAAATACATTGTTGCACTTTTAATTTTTTATTAATAATTCTATATGTGATGCTGAGTGATACATTATACAAGGTATACTGTTATTATATTGAACATAAATAAAAATGTTTAAGAAGATAACACAAATAAAATAATTCTCATCATTTTTATCTACACATACACTTGCACATGAATCATAAACTCATTTTAAACATAAAATAACACCAGGGCACCATTATGCCTCGAAGTACATAAATTTACTTTAGATAATATAAAATGTCACAGATAATCAATATATTTGTATAGATTTTACTAAAGTAACAAGAAAAGATTATATAATAAGATAAATGTACTTATGACAATAAAAAATAGAATTTTGTTATTGTTTACCTTATGCGAATATATCAAAGAATCTGTAACTCATTCGCGGACAGTAAAGCGAACACATTAAACAATTTTTAGCAATTTTCAGATAAAAATAATATGACAACTAATAACAATATATAATAAGATACATCTAACAGTAACTATTGTCTGACAATTCATTACATATTAGCATATCTGTAAAAAGATATCGAGTACATCCCGTTATACCCCAGGTTCCCCTATAAACATATGTATATTGAAACACGAGTATTACTTATGAATTTACGTGCAATGAGTAACTATAATTTGCAATTTTTATGCATTTTGAAATTTATTTAAAAAAGTATTTTAATCCGAATTTTATTGCCATGTGACTTGTAATTGTCGCTAATCTGTTTGTTTACAAATGTGCCTTTTTTGACAGACTTTTGTTTACGACAAAAACAGCGTTTCAAAATTATGAATGGCATTATACTTATTTATGGCGTTACTTACGTACAATGATAAAAGTACGTAATGAATTACACTAGTCTTTAGTAGCAAACTTTTCTAAACAAATTTTTCTTTCTTTTCTTTTGCCGATCAATTGTGTGAAGTAAGGAAAATCTTTTTGATAAATAAAGTGATATCTTTGTTTTTCTTGTATTGTAATATATTATTTTCATTTGTTTTCTACGAGAAAAATATAAGTTAAAAATTATGATTATAAAATTAGAAATATTTAATATATCTTTTGTTCTTTTTCAGGATTAATTTATCGTAGAAAACAAAATCAAGATGCGAAATGGGCTGATGGGCATTTTGCTTCAATGCAATAAGGCCATCGCAAGATGTTCCGGGAAAATCGCTGGTCGCTACTATTCGGCCGGCACCGCGAAACCCGAATTAACGTCGATCAGATACAAAACTCAACGCGGGCCCTACGCTATGGTCACGGATGCAGATGTTCGCTTTTTCGAATCGTTGCTTGGCTCCAGTCACCTCATTACGGACCCGGATGAATGCGAAAGTTACAATATCGACTTTGCAAAAACCGTTAGAGGTAAGCATGTAAAGGATAAGCGTATAAGATAAACGACAAAAAAATGTCTTTAATTATAAAAATTTGTAGGAAATACTCTCTCTAGCAGAAAAAAATTATTTTTTGTCTTAAAGGAAGCTGTCTTAAAGGAAGCTTCTTGTTGTGAAAGTAATGAATATTATAACATGTCGCTATAAATAAAATTGAAATGTGTATATTTTATGGTTTTATTAGGATAAAACAGAGAGATAATCAGAGAATTCACACATTCTATTTACGAATTTAACATTAAAATTTTATATACGTCTTCAGTAATCATATATACTTCATTGCTAAATGAATAGGGTTCTTTTTTAATAATACAATAAGAATTTGTAGAGAACCAAAAAAATATAAAATTACAATTTAAGGAATTCATATTTTATTTCTTTCTAAAATAAGGCAAATTTTCTATAGAATGCTATTTTTAGTATTTTTAGCATGTGTTTAAAATATCTTCTTTCAATTTATGTAAAAATGGAGATTAGAGAGTGCGGCCATATTTTTACAATAGTTCAAATAGAAGAAATGCATTTTAATTTTCAGAGTAAAATTCCGAAATTCTTTACATTTTTAATTCATAGTTAACATAATTGCAGGTGCAAGTCAGCTAGTGTTGAAACCGACATCCACTGAGGAAGTATCTGCAATACTAAAGTATTGCAACGAGCAACGATTAGCAGTTTGCCCCCAGAGCGGAAATACAGGTCTAGTTGGTGGTTCCAACCCAGTATTTGATGAAATTGTCATTTCCATGAAGCTCATGAATAAAATTTTGGACACAAATGAATTGACAGGTAGGTGCGATTAGTATGACATCAACTCAAATGTATCTAAATATCTTTGGAAACTCTACTAAAAAAATTAAGCGAAAACCTTCATTTACTTTACGCGCGATTATATCTAATATAAAAAAAATTTTGTTACTACATCTAAATCTTCTATTTAATTATTTATAAAGCTAAAAAGATTTAATTTAATTCATATATTCTTTGAATACAGTTTAATCTGCAGTACGCTCCTTGAATTACAAGAATTGAATTTAAACATTTTTTTTTCTTTATGATGATATGTCCTTTGAAAATATATTTTTCAAAGAATAATAGATGCGAATAATATTATGATAAGATTCCTTGAAGTTAAATAGTAAAAAAGCATCATGCACAATTATTCATTTCTTTCTTGTGGTACTATTATATTAAAAACACTTGATATTATACTGTGCTAGGTATACTGACATGCGAGGCTGGCTGTGTTTTACAAGATCTGGACAATCACTTATCTACAGTGAACCTAATGATGCCCTTAGACCTTGGGGCAAAAGGAAGCTGTTTGATAGGTGGGCAGTGTTGAATCTTATCTAGATAAAATTATCTAGATGATCATCTAGATGAAATTATGATGTCATCTTATTTTTATCTAGATAATAAAAATATTAATTATCTTTATCTGCATCTTAGATGGAAAAAAGTGTCATCTTTATCTTGAATGACATTTAGATAATTTAGTTTACATGTTACATTGCTGGAAATGTGCTGAATATTGAAATATTCGCTTTTATGTAGTTCATGTTTGCAGAAAAATTTTTAGCCTCAAGGAGAAAGTGGGTGCATCCAGTAGTAGATAGGTCTGTTCGCGTTGTTTGCACTTTTTGTATTCAGCACCTTCGCTGTCTCTCTTTTCAAGGCCAAATATATGTATATCTATCTTATTTTAAGTGCAAAAATATTTGGGGATTTCGTACGACGCGAACAGATCTTATACATATAACTACTTACTTGCATTCAAGTGATTTGAGAGTTGATTGTGTATCTTGAAATGAGGAGAAAATTACAAAAGTGAGCAAATTCACTAAATATTGACCGATTAAATTATAACTATTCTAGTGAATTTGCTCACTTTTGCAATTTTTACCTTATTTCGAGATACGCAATCGATCCTCTGTTTTTCATTTTTGCACTAGACGTGCAGAGAGTTGTAGTGCATAGAATTCTCTCTCTTTCGCCAAATATCAAACATATTATACTCATTTTAAGTTCCAAAAGTGTACACTACAGAAAAGCAAAACAAATGGCAAAATGTTATATTTTTTATTAACTGTGAGTAATAATGAAATTAAATTAAAACTAATAAGTTATAAACTCCTTTAATTGATACGACAAACAATAAAAAAATTCATACAAAAGGCTAGTAGGAGTCAACCTCTGGCTGTTAAAAATTTCGAGATATACATTTAATTAATAATACCATATGATTTCGTACGTTTCAACTCCTGTTTGAGTCATCTTCAGCGTTACAATCTTTTAATATTAAAGCAATTAATATATCGCAGTCAATGTCTTCAAAGTTCTCTCCTTTTGTATGTGACCATTGTGGATAAAAACTCAAGCTAAAATTTAAAAAAATCGTTGAAAAAAGTGAATAATATAGAGGACAACAGAAATTGTGCTCACTTCACGGAGTCAACAAGTCACATACAAAGTAATAGTAAATCACACGAGAATTGCAGAAGTTATCGCAAATTAAAATTAAAGACATTTACTGCGATATATTAATTGCTGTAATATTGTAACGCTGAAGATGACTCAAACAGGAGTCGAAATCATATATTATTATTAATTAAATGTACATCTCGAAATTTTTAATAACCAGAAGTTGACTTCTATAGTCTTTTTGTACGAATTTTTTAATTATTTGTTGTAACTGTAAGTATAAGTTTTAAAAATAAAAAAAATTATCTGGATAATTTTAGATGAATTTTCAGATAAATTTATCTAGATTATCTAGATGAATTTAATTGAATCATCTTTATCTTATCTAAGATAAATTTCCAAATTTTCATCTTATCTTTATCTAGCTAATTTTAAGATCATTTATGCACAACACTGTAGGTGGGTGTGTATCTACAAATGCTGGTGGATTGCGACTTCTCCGTTATGGCAATCTGCATGGAAATGTCTTGGGAGTCGAAGCAGTAAGAGTTGAATTTAAATACAAATTATAATTATGTAATTTAAAATAATAATAATTTTATTATTTTTCTCACAAAATAGTAATTATTGTTATTATGTTTTGTATACACATGTAAAATTTAAATTTATGACACTATTAAAGACATAAATAATATATCTATCGATTTTTGTTATATTTTGTCTTGTATAATATGCCTAAAATTTTTATAAATTAAAATTATTTCTATTTTTTTAAATTATTTATTTTTATGTTATTAATCTTGTAACCATTATTGAAAATTTAGGAAAAAACAATTTAGATTTTTTAATTTAGAAAAATTAAATTTCTCTTTTTTGTCTATTGAAATTTTTTCTATATATTGTAGTTTAATATATATAATCGAAAGTAATATTAGATAAATAATTGTCTTTCTTTATTCAGGTGAAGGCTAACGGCGACATTGTAGACGCGTTGAATGCGTTGAAGAAGAATAATACCGGTTATCACTTAAAACACCTTTTTATTGGATCTGAAGGAACTTTAGGTATTGTAACCAAAGTGTCTGTTCAATGTCCACCGTTACCGAAGGCCATAAACGTCGCATTTCTAGGTACGCTTTAATTGTAAATAAAATATAAAAATACGTTAGTATGTATTTTATAGCACAATGACTAGATTCAATATATAAATTAAATTGCAAAGCACACACAATTTGTTTCAAAACATTGCTTTATTAAGATATAAATTTTATTTAGGATTGTTAATTTTATTTTGTAGGGTTGACAAGTTTCGATAAAGTGTTGAAAACATATTATTTAGCGAAACGTCATCTAGGTGAAATTCTGTCTTCTTGTGAAATGATGGATCGATTATCTATAGATGTTTCCATTAATAATCTTGGCATGAAGAATCCGTTAACGAGCCGCGAGGATGGCCATGAGTTTTATATGATAATTGAAACTGCAGGTAGCCATTTGGTTCATGACGAAGAAAAGTTATCCTCGTTCGTGGAAAAAGCTATTAATGACGACATCATTGAAGATGGTACAATGACTAACGAATCGAAAAAGTTGGAGGTATGTGATCGACAATTTATTTACATCATATCGATCATATTCATATCTCAGGTAGAACACAGAAATTATAGTAATATCATAAAGACGTTATCATGACCTTATTTATCACTTATAAATTCATTTATAAGTTCATTTATGAATGACAAATAATATCATGATGATGTTCTATGATATCATGACTGTATTCTACCTGGAATTGTTACGGCTTAACAAGAATCCGGAGGATCTGTAGCGAGATACTCATAGCATTTACTTGTGCACACGCAAATAAAGAACACAAATTAAACACAACTAAATGCTTAATAAAATTATCAGAAATAATGAGACAATTTTAGACAATCTTATGTATTGCTACATGTCTTTATAAGATAATGACTTACACAAGATAATAACTGTCCTAAAAATGAGTTTCTTTATATTTGAGTGTCCGTAATTGATTATCTAAGCACAGTGAATTACAAATTATATTGTAGCAAGATACAGAGACGAAACGAAGATGTAACAAAAATTTACTATGAAAATTTAAAAATGGAAATTCTTCTCTACTATGCTTGATTCCTAGAAATGTAATTGAACATTTACATGTATCATATTTGGATCTTGTTGAAAGAATAATCTATATTTAAAATTTTAGGAAATATTTATCAATTCATATCCTTATAGTGAAAATTAAACTTTCAGGCCATATGGGGACTTCGAGAAAGAATTAGCGAAGGCGTCTTACGAGACGGTTACGTATTCAAGTACGATATCTCCCTACCTCTTTTATCTTTTTATAAGATCGTTGAGGTGCTTCGCAAGGAAATACGCGATTCTCGGATTGTCAGGATTAGTGGTTATGGGCATTTAGGTATAATTTTTACAAAAAGAATTCAAATGTCTTGAAATAAGTTTGATATCCGCAAATGATTTCCTTTTTTTTTGTTTTTAGGCGATGGAAACATCCATGTACAAATTTCTATACCAGAGTATTACGAGGATGTAGCCGCGCAATTGGAACCATTTATTTTTGAATACGTATCAAAATGTCAGGGTAGCATTAGTGCCGAACATGGCATTGGCTTCAAAAAAACTAAATACCTTCATTTGAGTCGAAGCTCTTCCGGGATAGAAATAATGATTTGAAGAAAATGATGGATCCTAATGGCATTCTGAATCCATATAAGGTGTTAAAATAATTTGTAAACACAAACGATGTAAATATTTTATGTGCCATTTGAATGAAGCCCATAGAAGATTAAATATAGTCGTGCAATTAGCTAAATGATTATCTTTATGAATGTTTATAAAAATGTTGAAGTACCATTGCGTGCTATTATAACAATATTTGGCGTTACATGCTGGTAAAGTTCTATATGTTTTTCTTGGCTATTATCCATCTGCCGATAAAAGCAGACAAAACGTTTCGTGACTAACGCCTCATTCGAAATAGATACAATTAGTAATAACTATGAGAAATACCAAAATCTATGTCTTTATATGAATGTTTTAAAAATTTTTGTAATTATATATATTTTTAAATATATATAATGTAAATGTACCTGATGTATGTAAAGAAGAGATTGTGAATGCTTTCCATGTTGTGTTATACTATGTTTCTTGCTGGAAAGCACTATGTAACTATACGAAGTGAACTGTAGTCAACAGAGATTTGAATGTTAAAGAAATGCAAAAATATCTCTTGTTACATACACACCCGAGAAAAAAATGGGATATATATTGGTATATTTTATATATAAGTATATATAATTGTATATATAAAATATGTCAATTTTTTTTATAATTATATAAAATTTTATATAATTACATATAATTATATGTAATTATATATGAAACATTTTTTCCCAGGCATGCATTTAATTTAGTCATGCTCTTAACATTAATTAAATTTTATACTATGGAATTTTATCTAGTAGAAAAAACGGTACAACGAAATAAATAAATTGAAATAAACTTTTAATAAAGATTTTATTTTTGGAATTGATATGTTTTTTATTCCGTTGTTCCTTTCTCTGATCAAATAGGACTGATTTTTCGATATAATAAGGTTTAATTTTATTAAAAATTTAGTATATATGTGATATATGTGTGTGTGTAGAATACAAATTTTAAGATGTGGAAAAAGTTATTAAAACCAAAATAATGAGAAACCAAATAATTAAAAATTAATCATTCGATTCTTTCATTCTAATAAGTGATAAAAATACAATAAAATATTTAAGTTTAGACACTTGTTTAGTTTTGTTAAATGTTACGATATATGTATTTAATCATTTATTATCAATTTGAGCGATCCTAGAAACAACAAGAAATCGCGCGAGATCTCTGTAATCATGCGCATGTGCGCGCGCCGCGCGATCGAACAGTCTCGAAAAGAGCGGCAAACTGAATATAAATCGGCGCACTGGTAATTGTTGCGCAGTTAGTCGCAAAGAGGAATTCATGCTCGGAGGAAGTGAGCCTTGCAGGAAAGATCTCTTATTGCGTAGTTCGACAAGTAATTTTGCAAATCGAGCATCAGACATCGAGTGTTAACGAACGAAACGAGGGATTTTTCAAAGTCGACAAGGTGCGTATTATGATTTGCCTCCCAATCATACGCATCACGCACAATCAATGATTATATTCAACAATCACGCAGATTAATTGAATTATTATACACTTTTTGCTGCTTTTATATTTAAAATTATGACGAACAAATAATAGCAGTCTTTTTATATGAAACAATGATTAAACTACGAATAAAAGAGAATTTGTTAAGATTTTTGAGCATAAGTTGTATTATTTAAGATTGTTTTTTGGATTTTAAGCTCATCAAAATTTTTTAAAATAATTATTTTAACTAAAGTACTTATTTAAATAAGTACTTTAAGTAAGTATATTATTAGATACTCTCTTTTAACAATTTCAGCTTGCACATTTATCAGTTATGTTATAATAATTTATTAAATATAATACAATTATTAATTATTATTATTATTAAATCTGTATTTACTATATATTATATTTATATAAATATTTTATTAGTATTCAATCATTGCTTTCTAAATTTTAAACTCATCGAAATTTCTTTAAATAATTATAAACACTCTTCTTCAATTTCAGTTTGTACACTTATTAAATACATTATAATCATTTATCAAATATAATAAAATTATTTATGTTCCTCTTATTATCATCATCTATATCTACAGATATTTATCATGTCGCATCTAGATTTTATTTATATTTGATTATTACCAATTACGTTTTATCTTTCACACAAAAGCTCTTCAAATTACATGTGACAAAAGTAAATCAGGTAAATAATGATCTGTTAATTCCTATTTGTTTGCAGGAAATCATGGCACTTGTATCAAGAAGCATATTCCGCAACTGGTGGGACGATATAGATCGCTATCACCATGAGATGGAGGAGCACTTTCGGAGGCTGAATCTGCACGACGATCTGTGGCGAATGCCGTCACTCCGTGACAGGTTCCGGCCGTGGCGCGACGTATTTGAAAATCTGGAAAGTGAGATAGGCGGATGGGCAACAGTCGAACACGACGCGGACAAGTATCGGATAGTGGTGGACGTACAGCAGTTCACGCCGGAGGAAGTCACCGTTCGCACCAACGACAAGTATATTACCGTTGAGGCCAAGCATCATGAGAGGAAGGATAGATACGGTTATGTATCGCGACAGTTTATACGTAGTTATTTGCTGCCGCCGAATTACGACATCGGTCACGTGAAGCCCAGCTTGTCTTCCGATGGTATTCTGACTATTACGGCACCCAAATTGGCATTACCGGCGCCGGGCGAGCGATTCGTACCTATAATACGACGAACCTATTGGCCGGCCATCAAGGCCAAGTAATGCGCTGAGGTGTTTCCGGATAACGCGAAAATTCAATGATTGAGAAATTAATCGCTAAAACAAAATATCCGAATAATTTTTTTAGAACCACGATCATCCTCAAAGTCAATAATTTGCAGAGGTGTATGCCATTGTCTGCAATAGCATTTGATCTACCAAGAAACGGACAATCAAACCTTGGCGAGAAAAAAGTTAATCATTTTAGTCTTGAATGTTTGAATTTTTAGATACCTTTGCAACGAATTTCAGACCGGTTCGCGTTGTTCGGCTTCCTCGCAAATGTCTATTATTATATGTACACAATCGATCATTACAATTATATTAATATTACAATAACACTTGCTGATACTTTTATTACGTATATACAGGGCGTCCAGAAATTTGCGAATTAAAATACTACAGCAAGACAGATATCGAAAAATTAAGTAAAAAAATGTGTACATTTTTATTTGAAGCAGTAGTTTTTGAGATATAAGGATTCAAATGGAGCCAACTACAAATTACGTCGCCCACTAGCTATCCATGAATCGTGTGATAATATTAGTAAGCGCGCATTTCAGCGTTTAATTTTGTGAAAATTTTTTCACTGCGGTATTTTAATCGATTTATAAATTTCGAGACATCCTGTATGTACGTGGTTCGAATCAAACCGGGACTTTTTTATTCTTACATTCATGAGAATAAAAGTCCCGGTTTGACTTGAATCATCCACCCCCCCCCCACACACACACACACACACACGTGCGCGCGTGTGTGTATACAGAAGAAAATAAACAATTTTTGTCTCTTACAGTTTTTCGATAAAGTTAATAGTATTTGAGTAAAAAATTATTGAAGTCCAATTTTCGACAATTTTTAGTAATTAATATCTTGTTAACTATTATGAAAATTGTAAAATGATAGAGGATTTTTCTTTTCAGTTTAGTCCATTCTGTCCCATGCGAAAGATTTTTTATTACTTTCCAAACACTGTATATAAATGTATTAACATTGCGTCTGTATGTCAGCAAGGAACGAGTCACGATCGTTATTTACGCCACAGCTTAAGATAAATAAAAAAAAACTGCAGAATTAGATTAGTATTCTATTATACTCAAAATAGACATTCACACTCGATTGCACATACGACTTTTCGAGAGCGGAAATTAATAGATCGATTACGACCGTGACTCATTCTTCGCAAATTTGGATGACTTTAATATGTAGCGTAATGAGCCATAATTAGAAAATTGTATAAAAACATGCATGTACAGTTGCATCGTGTTAATTATTTTCTCATAGCTTTAAAAGACAACAGTATGTTATGAAGTTTTACGACGCTGTTAGACTGTAGACATTACATCATTCGGGTTCGTCTCGGCGATTAGTTTCGAACGGTTCATGCCGCCGTGACTCGCTATTAAAATGTAACAACTGCTATTGCGTATGTTCTGTAAGCTTGTCGCTCTTATGTAATCATTCACTTAATTTATTCGTGTTATCGTTAGCTTGACAATTCGATTTAGAGTTTGTACTTATAGGTTGTTTATGTAACACTTCTTTTTGGCAAGGAATGTGAGTTGCATAAAATATGTATGAATGATATAGGTAAATCACTCGGTATTATAATTACTCGCGTCACAGTCAAGAAGCTAGAATTATAGGCGAGATATTATGTAATGCACTTTATATTCGTATTATCGAGTTAGACGGTTGCAATTGTGTTCAATTAAATGCATAATAATAATAAATATATATTTTTCACATTCGAACGATTAAAATGATTTTATTTTTGCGATACTTTTCGCATAGTTATTTGTAATTTTATTCGCTTTGTATTAAGCTAAATATAATATTTTGCTAATAATATTTTCTTTAATAAAGGTTAATATCAATTCAATTTTGTATTTTGCTACCATTATTATCATCAAATAATAGTCACTAAACATTAAATATACACATATATATATATAGCTTTTATAAATTTGCTTTAGTTATAATTATAATGTGTTTCTAATAATACTAAGTAATGTTTCTTTTTTAATAAAAATTTAATTCCAATATTTTTCTTAAACAAACATTTTGAATGTGTAATTTTATATAATTTTAATTAAAGTTACAATTATTATTTAATTTACATACTACAATTATAAATTTGACAAATATTTATTTTCTAATATACGTATAAGAAATATACGTATAAGTTTGATTTAAAATTAATATTTTTTTCTTAAAAACGCATTTATGCTGTTAAGTATTTAAATCTTAACGATACCACCACTTATGGCACACAAAAATCTATGCGCATAAAAAAATAAGTCGCAATAAATATTTCTTCAATTTAGCCAAATCGTTATTGAATTATCCATCGGGCATAAATTACACATCTGTGCCAAATGTGTCACAAAGTCGTGCATACATTTTTTACTTCTTTCATGTTGCAAAACTGCTATTAGACAATTCGACATTCACGATTCCATTTAGGTATAAATTGTAAGTTGAATTTCATCGCGTGATACAGGATATTTAAAAAATCAGAATATATGTACACGTATTGTACATTAAAATACATGCGCATATATCACGAGTAACGTACAATACGTGTTTACATTATAAAGGAGTCTCGAATTATTGGCCCTCTAGAATGGAGTTAAACGTTTGAACGTTCGATTGTGATCTATGAATGCTTTTCTTACGACGGTCCTCGTTCTTCCTCGCTCTCAGAGAATGGCGTTTGATCGTCTTGACTGTTCGGTGGTAGCGGTTCCTCCAAGATTGTTTCCTCTGCGGGTGTTAAACCCTGCATCCATCTAGCCTGTTCCTCGATCGCCGGAATTTTCTCATCAATCAATTTCTCCATGTTTACCTTGTCCAATTCCTCTTGTATACGTCTTTTCAACGGTCCTTCGATCGCGTCCATGATTTGATATCTAGTAAGAATAAAAAAACACAGTTAGAAAGAGAGCTTAAATAAAGAATATTTAAAAGAGAAAAAAAAAGAAAATATGTCACACAGAATCGTATTTTCCAAAATTAAATATCTGATATTTGAGTGTTTAATAAAGAAACCCAAAAGTATATAGATAGGATTAGTTTCACCGTCTCTGATTAGTTTGATTAATCAATTAAGTGTCAACCGTGATTGGTCAATTTTGCTTAACGACAAATGCAATTGGTCAGTTTCAATGGAATAATCGATTGATCAAGTTAATCAGAGTTGGTAAAATCGGTCTTTAGCCCGTTTTCCTGTACCAATGTAGATTAATTTAAATTTAATTTCGATCCAACTTATTCTTCATCTTTTTCTAGTTTTAAGAATTAGAAAGATAAAGAGTATAAGTTAAGCCTAAATTAACATTAATTCTTTAGATCCCAAATCATTCTAATTATAACATATGACCTCAAAAGAATTTTGGGGAAGCTGAAAAAACGCAAGTAAGATTATTTAACAGCAAAACAAACATTTTGAGACGTAGAGAATTTAAGCGAAACGTTCGTTAACCATTTTCCGAGATTATCAAGGATACTACGATTTTGTTTATTGCGTTAGACACGTTTCCTAATGCTCATTGTGATTAGACCCGTGTTAGAAAATCGCCGATTACGGACGTCGCCTTGAAATCGACGCGAGACGCATATTTTACAAGGCCGGGGCTATTACGTATGGTTTACCTTAAAAGGTTCGGCAGTATATTAACGCTCGCTTCTACGAGATAATCGAGCGTTCTGGCGCCGTGGAATCTCGTTTGGATGTTGCCCAACTCGAGCTCCAATTCTTCTAATGTAGCGCGTTTCCGCGTGTCCAACGGCTGAGCCAGCTTCACTTGAACCCGAAAGTATTGGACGGTGAAGGACATGGTGCCGGCACGCGACAGGAAGCCGCCGATCACGCTCACCTCCCAGTGCGTCTTACCCTCAAGTTCCTGGGTGCCGACATCCAGAAGCGCGTATACCTATATAAAGTGCCATAACGTATGTAAGTACAAATTAAATCTGCGATAAACGTCACCTACGCACGTGCAAAATCCAAAAACCGCACACTGTAACGATTTACAAATGTGGTACCTTATGTAATGTTTACGCAACGATGGTCGCAATTATGGTCGATGCAGTTGCTTTGCGTTTAGCAATTTCATCGTCGACATTTGTCTATTTTAAATTAAATTATAATCTCATCCGCGCGTCTAAATGTTATATCTTTTTGAAATAGATACTCTTTGTATGCCTATTGCAGCAATATTTTTAACTTCCCATTTGGAACTCTTCGATTGAAGATATGTTAATAGATCTCTAGATAAGTTAATTAGATCTACTAAAAAATTACACTTACAGTTCCGTTCTCCATGGTGATGGTTATATTTCCCATACGATAGAAACTGGCTAGACCGGTGATCCAGGTATGTGACGAGGTCATAGTGAATATACCGACGCTCTGGGTATAATCCTTTAACTGATATGGATCATAGCCCATCTGAGAAACCTGCTTCCGACCTTCTGCGATCGCCATATCGAAGGGTGAAATCGAATTCGGAAAGTATTGCGGTAATTGTGATATTTGCTTATTTACTTCTCCCCTGAAATATATCACATTGTTGAGAAAAAAATATAAACACACCGAAAAATTATAAATTCTCTCTCTTTTTAAAAGGAATGGAGAGAAAATTTATTTATTATTATTAAAATAAATGGAACTTTATAAAAAAATATATAATTTAAATATTATATAGCAGATATATATAGCTGCGTAAATATTGATATTTAAAAAAACAATGTCATAAAAAAATCTAAATTAAAATACCGGCATTAGTTTCGATTATAGTTTTAAAGAATCAATTATTATTTTCATTCATCATATTATACAGGGTGTTTCCAAATTAAATGGCAAAACTTCGGGAGCGTGTAGAGGAGTAAAAAACTAAGAAAAAAAGTCCTATAGACATATGCTCGTTTTTGCTCCGTTTCAGAGAAATCGAAAAAAAATGTTTACATTTCTTGCCATATCTAGCACCGACATATTTGATTACATTTTCCACTTTCTGTTATGAATTTGTCAGTCGCTCTTTGAAAGCCTTTAACAGTAGATGAATTTTGTCTTTTGCAATATGCCGCGTACGTATTCTAATAGTGAATATGCTGATATGGTTTTTGTATACGGTTTCTGCAACGGTAATGCTTTAAAGGCGGTGCGAGAATATGCACGACGATTTCCAAACAGAAGAGTGCCAAACCGAAGAGTGTTTATGTTGACATTTAATAGATTGCGAGAGACTGGAACATTTTCAATTCGACAAGAAAACAACCGATTTCAAGCAGCGTTACGAAGAGATTTGCAGGCAGGGAATCGTATTTTACAACATTTTGACAATCATCCTGAGACCAGCGTTCGGAATGCGTCGGCTGTATTGGGAGTGTCACCACAAACAATTTGGCGAACTGTAAAAGGAGATAATCGCTATTTCCCTTGTTATTTTTCTTTCTCTCTATTCATCTCACCTTGTTTTTATTTATCTGTTTAAATAGTTTTCGATTTAAAGGATACATTTTTTAAAGAAAGAATTGTACCTCATGTTTGTATTAACTTCTTTTAGTATGAATGGTTTGATGCTGTCAAAGATGAAGCTTCCGACGGAATTGACGAGTCCTTGAAACACCGAACCTACGAATCCTAGATTTTCAAAGGCCAGGTCAATTTTATCGAAAGTCAAATCCATGTCGATGTCTTGAGCCTGCAATTTGCCATCGGTGCTCACTTCTAACCTGGCGATACCTTCGACTTTCACACCGGTAAGCTTCACCGTAAAATTCCCTTCGGACCTCGAAATCCACGATGTCATTGTGTGTAATCCGCGAATATCAAGACGGTCTATCCTTACTGCAACGGATACCTCGAAAAGATAATTATTTTTATTTTACATTTTTGGTAAAAACAATAAAGTTGAAAAAATAAGAAACATAATAAATAAATCAAGCGCATACATATAAGATAAATTTAATTATATAATATAAACATATATGTGTAATACAAGAAAATTGTAAATATAAATAAAAGAAACAAACATTTAATGATTTCAAAAGAAAGATGTAAAAAAATATGTAAAATATTTATATATATATACATATATAATCTATAAGATGTTTTGTGCACAGAATATGTAATATAAATTGTTTTAAGACACATTCCTTGCGAATTGATAATTTAAAGATTTTTCCAAATAAATTAATAAAAAAGACTTTATTAGAAGAGAGCATATTTTACTTCTTATTTCCATCACTATACAGTCGCAGTATCGTTATCATCTTTCTACTACGTCTGCTTAAAATATGATGCGCATCTTACTTTCTAACACAAATACAACGTACATATGGTATACTCGCACATTAAAGTCCAAATATTTGATTTCTCATATACTAAAAGCATTTTATCCATAGGAAATATTAGTTCAAAATTTTAAATAAATGTTATATCTATTAATTAAAATTTAACAATAGAGTTTCTATTTTGCATTATTATTTTTATAAAGAAATCGATTGAATTACGATATTGTAATCTTCATTATCAATATATAAATAATGACTCACATAGACATTTATAACTATAAACCATTATTAATCAACATTTATTATTTTTAAATTATTCATATAACTGTGTTAATAACTGTTCGTAATATTGTATTAATAACTATTACTAATACTACAGTAACTATTAATAGCAACATAGCGAACTATCTTCTACATGTGTCACTATACATATAAATGTATATATACATTTTAGAATCTAATCAAGAGCGAAAAGGAAATATTGTCAATCTCAACTTCTAATATTTTCTTGGTTTTTTCTTTCCTTCCAGCTGACGTTTTGTTTTAATTTACCTGCATACGTGCCAGTTCCGACTCTATATGTTCGATACGGAATTTGGACAGCCCGTAAACGCTAATCTTTTTGAGATTTATTGTATATACGGAGAAGGAATGTTTCATATCCGGCACTGGCATCGGATCCGGTATCGGCGCGCCCGGCAACCCGACCGGATCGTCTTGCTGATAATGTTTGAGGATAGCGCGAATTTGATCTCCTAGCCGCTGCTCGCCCACGGCTATCTGAGCTGCCGTTTTCTTGTCTAGAATAAGTTAAATCTTTGTTAAATTGATAAGTTGAATCGACATTAAGTAAATAAATATAGAAAAATAGTATTATAAAGCCAATTTCATGAGAGATATATTTTTTAGTTATACGAAATTGACGTCCAAAAATTTTTATTTAGATGTAAGCTGGTTCAATTAATTATTGAGATTTTGCCCGAAAATTAATCATTGAGACTTACAAATGAAATAACTCTATTTTACAACGATCTATGTTATGACTGCTCCTTGAACTATACATTGCGCAAGAAGAGTAAATTATTTACATGAAAAATAACGTAGCAAATAGCGTGTCATAGTTAATTATTATGAAACGCACAGCGTGAAGTACGTCAATTATTTTTTAAATCTTGTTAATAAAACTATATGTTGTTTGTCTATTCAATATACAACTTTATTGAATCGTATTAAAATTATTTATGAAGTAATCATTTATTAAGAGTTCACGATAGGAAATGATTGGAAAAATTATAGTCTCCTCTGTCTATTTAATTCAATTATATTATATTTAAACAATTTACATATTTAAATAATTATAAATATATTAACCATTAAATAAAAGTTTAATGCAATTGCGCTGTATTTAAATGATTTAAAAAAAAAAAAAATATACAGATGTTACTAGGTTTTGACGAAATCACGTCTATCAACGAAATGTCGTACCTATCGAAGTTGAGGCATTGTTCGCTTTTGGCTTCTCGCTTGCACACGGGAGACACAGGAAACAGCACACTATCAAAAAGACCACCGCGTAGACTCGCATTTCCAATCGCGTCTTGCACCTCATGTTCATCCTTTAATACTTCCTCTTAGAAACACACTAATATATCATTTAACACTTGGCCCTACCGATGTTGCTACAAAGAAGCTATCATAAAAAATATTAACGCGTAATCGTATCATAAATTTGTCGGGATCCCCTCCGATCGTTTCCCGTTGTAACTCCTCCCTTGGAAACCCCTCACCACCATTCACTTCTGGATTTTGTCAACGGACTAATATATTAATTAATTCCACAATCAATTTTACAGTCAGTTTGCGATCACAAGCTTTGTCCTTCAACTGCCACTGAGTTCTTCTTTGTATCTGCCAAGGGTGCAAAATGCTTATCAGTGGACGAGAACGTACGATGTAACTCCTAACCGACTCCGAAGGCGTGTGCACGCGTTCGACTGACTGAGAAGGCACGTCAGTGAATTTAGTGGAACGATATCTCTGATAGGTCATTGAGAGAGCAAGGGTCAATAGCTTTATCTCCATGCCTTTCCTCTCTTCTTTTTATCCGTCTCTTTCTCCCTTGTTATGTATTATACTCGTCCGATTCTGAAATCTCGCTTTAATAGAGATAGAGTTATCGAAAAAAACTAGAAATTTTGAATGAAAAACACAGTAAAAATCAGTTTTTTATTCTGACCCTGTAAATTTTTTATTCGGTGAAATATATTATATTATTATATCAGAATTCAGTTGCATATATTCAAAAGATTTCTGTATAAAGATATAGCTGTAACCTATAAATAATCAAAATGTAATATCATGATTAAGTGACGGTGGTCAAGGATATATTTTTTATTAGATCCGTTTTAAAAAGACGTTTATATCTTTTGTCAGAATTTTGACAAAAAACCATTTTTTTCGTAAATAAAATTAATTTTTTACTCAATTTTTTATTTTGAAGTAAAAAAAACCTATTTTTTTTATTTCTTTAACAACCTCAACGTATGTTGCACAGATTGCATTGTGATATGATATGGGTGACCCCTATGATGGATTTTCCAGATGCAGTAGACATCTAGGATTCTATTCTGCAACAGACTTGTCTTAGAAAAACTGTCCCCACTTTTAGGAACGCCTAGCGTCAGAATTTAAACATGTATTTTGTTCTAGCAATAAGTTGTAACATGTTTCTTCTATATAAAAAATAATATGTCCCCAAAATATTATATTCAAACTATATTATATATTGTTTAAACAATTTTCGTTTTTTCTAATGAAAGAGAGATTTCTCACAATCAAGTAATATTTAATCTGTGAATTAAATTTTAACACGAAATCCTAGTCTGTAATAGCTTGACTAGTTTATTATGCAAATTCGATACAATTCACTGATATAATAAATAAATAATTATGTAAATATATTATATAAATTCCTAGTTAATATAATCAATATTCATACAAAATTATGAAAATTATTCAATATTACCAAAATGTATCCATTTATTAAAAAAGTGTGAAATATTGTTAAAATTAAAAATTATAATTCAAAACACGTTTTTAATATTTTATAATTTTAGTTAATTTCACACATAAAGAAATCATATTGTTATTTAGCTTAAAAAAAATGCAAAACAATGCAAAAAGAGGGATTTACGTTCAACAAACTCGATTGAACCTCAAAATAATCAGCTTTCTTACCCGGTTTGGGTTCCATCCTTAATAGCATTGTTCCATATGGTAAATGAATTTCTGTTGCGCCGTAGCAGCTGAAACGCATAGTCTTCAATTAATTCGCAAGATCTGTTGCCATTAGTTTAAATTATACATATTAATTGGCATTATACATATTGTTAAATTAGTATAAACTATTTGCTTTTTGGCGAAAGAACGTGTGGGAAAGGCTACACGATAAATTTCAGACGTATAACGGATTAAAATATAAAACATTAGTGCATAATATATTTATACAATGTATTACGAGTTTTAGGAGAGAACTAATAATTGTAATAATTCTTTACATCCGGATTTTTTCGTGTTAACAAAGCAATTTAAAGCTTTGTGACACTCACACTTACACATTCCATTCATACATGAATACCTATACATTCTCAACACGATTGCCGCTTTTTGACTGTTCCATTGGAGATTGATCTCCTGTCAAAATTCTCCTGCCAGGAAGCCTATTATTCTCACTATTTTGCCCCCATACAGCGTAGACCTTCGAAGAACATTCAGAGAGTCGATTATATAACTTTTCCTCTAGAGTGGAAACGTGAAAAGTAAAAATATTTTTTGTATGCTGTGTATATATGTACATGCTTACATGCATAAAAATTGTCACTTTTCACGTTTCCCGCTTTAGAGAAAAAGTTATATGATCGATTATCGTGAAGCATCCTACGTCCTAAAGATGTTCTTACATATAGAAGGACATTATTCGGATAAAGTATATTGTGTGGATTGTCATTATCAAAATTGTTACTTGTAGTATTTTCTTTAAAAATAAGTCATCTGCAAATTCGGTCTTTTGGAGATTTTTTCTGTCTGTGTCGGAGATTCGTTTAAAAAGTCTCCGGTTGAAAACTGGAGAGGTGACAATTGTTATTCTTGATTTATTTTTGCATTTAAAGGATTGTGTCTATCCTTATTCATCTATCTATACATATATCCGACTATTGGATATTAAAACCAAGTTTACTCTCTAAATTCTTTAGAACGTAGAATCTCATTCTAAGCCTGTCTTGAAAAAAAGCGACTCAATTTTCAATCTTTAAGGCCCGGTTGTTCCATCTTTTGGTAAATTTTACCTGTTGGGTAAGTAACAATATTACCCAATCACTGCATGCTCGGATTGTCGGATTTATCTAATAGGTAAAATTTAAACAACCGGTCCTAAGAGTGAGATTTTACTCTTCAGAATGAGCTTTTATTCTATATAAAAGTTTTAGAGAATATAATGCAGGCAAAAATGCTGGTTCAGGTATAAAATTACAACACCTTTTCATTCAGCGATTGATCGATTAGTTTATACTGTCATAGGAGAGAGAAAAACTCGATATAGTGCAGTTCCACGTGCCATCTCACAATCAGTTTCATGTGGTTTTATATCTAGAACAGAATAGTGTATTTGCTTTCCGCTGTACAAATTCGTCGTATGACGCGTGAAATTTATTTTTATATGTATTATATTTATAACAGTTTCTCCAATAAATTTTCTTAGAAGAATTGCATTGGATATGACTGTCATTAAATCGGTATTCATAGTTGGATTCTTATACATATATATTTAAGTCTGTCATAAATACATATATATTTAAGATGTCATAAAGTTAATCGCAAGGTCATATTAGCATCTTAAGATATTAAGATGATTTTAATATATCATAGTATTACGTGTATGTAAGTGTGTAATAATCAGGGAATTTAATAAATGGCGGGAAATTTAAATCGACGTGTCATAAAATAAATCATACACACGGAATATTTAAATTTTGAATATAAACGTAGGCGCAGTGTTTCTTCGATTTCTTCGTTTGCGCTCGTATAAGTATAATACATTCGCATCTTCTCGAAGCGGTGAGCTGAATGCGGTGAAAAAATATCCTCACGGCCGCGGCGATGTATCACCCCGCGGATGTGTTCGTAATTATAGTCACGTGACACAGTGGTTGTGTTTATTTATAGACACGAGTCTATCAAGTTTTGGCATACGCGCATGTGCGCGTATGCTCTGCGCACGTGTGTATGTCATTACCGTACCGTATGATCGGATACTACCACATTTGTGCATGATGGGTGTACGACGAGTTTTTTCGTGACAAGCGCTAGAGTGTGTTGCTGGAACCAGCTGGAACATGTGACGAGGATCTATCTAAGTCGGTCGGTTTTTCGAACTTCCGACGCAGTGGATTTCCTTAAAAATAGGAGCTCGTCAAGACATCTTTTCGCACTACGAGGGACTTGTGTAGGCTGGGTGTTGATCGTGAAAGAACAATGCTTGAAGATGTCACCTCGGAATTAGCCCCTCGATATTCTACCACGTCTCATGGTTAACGAACACGAGAGTTATGTCGAAGTCCGATGCTCCAAAATTCGTCACAGCGCTTTTCTCCTTCAAAGGGAAGAATAACGATGAAGTACGTGGAATTCTTCTTCTTTCCCCTCTCTTGAAGATTGTTCTAAATATTGCACTCCTATATGGAGCAGTGTTGTCACAGTTGCTAAAAATGTATTTGTATGTGTCTATACGCAGCGTTTTTGTTTTTTCTAGTTGTGTTTCAAGAAAGGAGATGTAATAACGATAACTCAGGTGGACGATGAAGGCTGGTGGGAGGGCACGTTGTATGATAAGACTGGTTGGTTCCCTTCGAATTATGTCAAGGAGTATAGAGCTCCAGGTATGATACTCTTTGAATATGTTTAAATTCTAATAGCTAAAATAGTATACAATTTGATCCACTTACAATTTGTTCTTTTAACACTCTGTATATTTTAATGTAAGTATTCTAAGGTCGAAAATAATTGTATTTATTTTATGTATTGTATACATACAGATGGTAGTCATGCGTCGATTAAAATGTCTCCAGAAAGGAGTCCACAAGAGTCACCTGCGCATCAAAAACTTAATCGTGATATAGTATTAAAGGATATCGTCGATTCTGAAAGAGTGAATGTAGCTGAACTGCAAGGACTAGTAAATAATTTTCTACAACCTCTTGAAACATCGACTATGTAAGTCATGTTGTTTAATAAGATGAAAAAAAAACAATGTTATGTATATTGTATGATAAAAATCTGGAATTATTACATAGACTGAAGAAAGATGAGTATAAACAGCTACTTGGTAACATTCACGAGGTATTGGAGACTCATCAGTGTTTATTAGCAAATTTGGAAGGAACTGTTTTGCAAGGACTCTCTGCAAGAGTAGGGAATCTTTTCCTAACTATTGCGCCGAGGCTAAAGTCTATTCACACTACATATTGTAACAATCATCCGCAAGCTGTTTGCATATTAGATAGATATAGGTAGGTACTTTTCAAAAATATATCTTTTTTTATTCAAATGTGCTATAAATCGAGTCTTGATCTTTATGTGAAATTTTTTGCTGTTCAAGAGATGATGCAGTATTACGATTTGTCCCTGGTTACTTTGTGATTAAGTTCATATTTTACTTTACTATTATTTTCCATTAAAAATTCCTAATATCGTGCAGGATGATAATTTCAGAAAGTAAACCTTGAATTTTTTGTTTGACAAATGACTGTTTTAACACAATGATTCAATATGGAATCTCACTGGAAAATAATTCGGATTATTAAAACAATATTATGATTTCCAAAAGATAATAATCGAATTGCAAATATATTAATCATGTATTATTATTTTAGAGATGAATTAAATGAATTTATGGAACGCAGTGGAGCAATATCACCTGGTATATTAGTATTAACTACTGGTCTTAGCAAGCCGTTTCGAAGACTAGATAAGTACTCTGCTATGCTTCAAGAATTAGAAAGATACACTGAAAAAAATCATCCCGACAGAGGAGATACTCAACGTAGTATAACAGTTTATAGAGAAATCGCGGTATAATAATTCATTTATATCTATATTATGTGTACAAAAAATGTTATTAATGTTTAATTTAAATATACTTAATCCATTTTATTTGTAGGATCATTGCGTTTCCATACGTAAGCAGCGTGAATTAGCACTCCAAATACTAACTAGTGGAATTAAAGGTTGGGAAGGTGAAGAATTAAATTCATTAGGCGAAATTATTCACGTCGGATCTGTTACTCTAGCAACCGGTGTAGATCGTAGAGATAGATACTTTGTTTTATTTCCTACCACACTATTGGTACTTAGCACCAGTCCCAGGATGAGTTCCTTTATTTACGAGGTATATTTGGAAACGTCTCTGTCACATTGCTTTAAAAACACAATATATAAAGATTTTAATTAATTTTCTGATTAAAGAAATGCTTTGGAGATCACTGGTACGTTTTATTCAAGTATATATCATGAGAGATAGATTCTACCTCACGATATAAATAAGAAATATTATTTTGCTAGCGTAGGAATAAAGAAATATATCAATAGATACATTCTTTGTTTCTAAGTTCACAAGATAGCAACAATTACTTCTTAAAATAATTATATAATAATGAAATGCGATGTGTGCTTTAAGGACCAATGATTGAAAGCATTGTCGTACTGTGCCCTACAAAGGAAGAGAGACAGCGTTGGATAGATCTCTTAATTCAGGAACAGTGTACTAGCCTCTTGAAATCACCAACCACGCCTCGTGTGAGTTGTCATCATCCTCCGTACGCTCGACTCTCGAGATACTTTGCGAAGCTCGTGAGGAGAAAAGTCATATATCCTGAATTGATGAAGAAATTATTATATATTCAGTATATCCTGAGGCCAGATTTAACTAACGTGAAAATGAGAAAGTGTAATGTGACCTATACTATTTTTCCTACTCACACTAGCGAAGGATCTGAGTCAGATACACTCGATGAAAGTAATGTGAAGAAGGAATCACGAATATTGCGTAAATCTTCGTTAATACTGGACGTTAGATATGTGTTAGATAATACTGATCTTAGTACTGTCGGATTAGCGAGCACTTCTTCACTCACGAATTTCGCACCGAGAGTTGATTGCGACAATCGATGTACTTTTGAGACCAGTAAGAGTTTACCTGCTGGTGCTGTAATGAGTCACGTTCTGTCAAACGTTCCGCTCGCGTCAAGCAAGTCGTATACGTCAAATCTTCAAACACGTAATAAATTTTATCGGGAACATTTGGAAATTTCACATGATAGAGATCAAACTGTAGATTATAAATATTTGAGAGCTATCGAAGAGTTTTACCCAAAAAACTTAGACGTCCCAGTTCAGTATTCCAACCAGAACGATAACTGCGATAATAACATCGGGGAAGAATTTGGAGAAACGTGTGTAAATATTAGCTTACGGTCTTCAGATTCGGGAATGGCTGAGAGTTATCACTTACGTTCATCTGAAATTAATTCCTGTTACAAATCATATACGTCTAGTCATACTAAATATACAGATCCTGTAAGAACATCTCATAGCGAAAGCGATAATGATGAGAATAAGTTTGAGCATCAATGTATTTGCACTTCGCCATTTGGCTCTACGCCTCGAGATAGTGCTCACTCGGTGGCTTCGTCTAAAAATATTGATGAATGTTCAAGTCTTGTGAGATCTAATGATGTCGGTAATGATGCTAACGATAATAGTGAGAAGGAAATTCAAGAGACTGTATTAGTTCATCCTCTGATAAATTATGGAAATGTACAAGGAAAAAGGTTTACACAACCAATACCATATGCGCATCAGTGTGTAATTAAAAAAGTCGGGAGACGCGTAGTTCGTCCAATACAGCCAATTATAGAGGAATATGACGAGCCAACAAATCAAGTGTATTCATCTGGATTATATGCTCATTGGTGGCTCAAGAAATCTATCCCGATAGTTGGATGCACAGAACAAGGCAAGCTTCCATGGCATGGCTGTTTCTTTGATCATTTCAGTTTTTTTAACCATGCTGGTGTTTTTACTAATTATCATTTTCTACCAAAAGTCGTATGCTCTTATTTCACAGCCATGTTGTGTGAAGTAAGCTGTCGCTTTACTAACACAATACATTATAGAATAGTCTTTCGAGAAACATCACCAATTTTTATGCGTATGCCTTTATTTTTTATCATGTCATCATTCACTTCGCAAAAGATTCTAGTTAGTTTGAATATACAGCTTTAGTCTTCAAATAGGTCGTGCATTTCAATAATCATATTTCTCTTTTCTAGCTTGTATTTTTATATCAAAAATGTTTTTATATTAAAAATAGACCCTGCAGAACAAAAATACAAATGTATAAATTATAATATAAATAACGTTCGAACAGAGAAATTTTTAGTCCGTGCATGTATACATATAATAGAAACAATCGTAATTATGTGATATTGTTGAAATATTACAAATGATGCATACATATTATAGCAGACAGGCAATCAACCGAACGGAAAACACCAACGACCGGCGATGGAGCATTGTACATCTCCAGGGATTAAGACACCTTGGAGTATTGCATCATTAAGACCCGCTCCTCCCCTGTATTCTCTTAAGAATTTTGGAAAATTAGATACTACTACAGATACATCACGCTCACCACGATCATGCAGTAAGATTGCTTTAGTACTAAATGTCAAGCATTTAATACATGTGAAGTTTTTAATTTATTTTCTATTGTACATATTCTATATTACAGATGAGCGACAATTTGAAGAAGATGCGATTATATTGAAAGTAATAGAAGGTTATTGTCTTTCTGTCAATGCTAGATTTACTGTACATTCTGGAGAGTCTAATTGTAAGTTTCTACAAATCAACTGAGAAACTTTTCTAAGTATTTTTTATATTATTAAGAAATTATTATGCTTATTTTTTAGCAATGCTAGATTATGAATCACAAAAATCACGGGACAGGATATCATTGACACATAACAGAGGCAATTGGGAATATTGTAACGACAGGTGAGTATAAAATATTGTGAAAAATATTTTGCAAAAGATAAATTTTTCTCTCTCTCTTTGAAACAAATATATTTAAATTTAATAATTTCTATAAAATGAAAAAATGCATCAGTTTGTATTAGAAATACTTCATTGTTATGTTACTGGTCAAATTAATTAAAAAATAAAGAAGAAATGGAGTTTTTTTTCTAATTCTTTTTTTAATTATGCTGTATAAAAATTACATATATTATATCAAAAATTGATAATATGATATTAGTGTATATTATTAGTGTGTATATATATTAATGTACTTTTTATGCACAGGACATTATCAGAAACAGTTAAAACCTTGAAGAATCAAATGACTGACTTACAATCGCAAATGTCGTTACTAACAAAACAATTGGATGAGGAGAGAAGATCGCGACTCTCATTAGCTGCTACGGTAAAACGTAGCATGGGAGTTATAGACGCATAAGGATATCGATAACATCAAAGAATTACAAGAAAGAAGTGTTCAAAAATAAATTTTTTACGATGCTCATTTCATACGTGCAAATTTTAATCATAAAACGCATAATATATGTCGCGTGTTGGAATGTTTTCATAAAGTTTACTATTTTTATGATATTTGTATATATATATATATGTGATAAATATAAGATAAAGGCATGTAAAGAAATTATTTATGTATTTTTTTAGCATGTTATACACTCGCAATAAAAAAATTCAAAAAATTGTATCCTATTATAAGATTCACATTTGTTGCGGTCAACAAAAAAACAACTTAATAAGTACTTTGTGCTCTGATTGCATAATAGTTTTAAATAATTAAGATAGAATTATTTCTCTAAAATCTAAAAATATAATTTAATCAGCACAAAATGTTTATCAAGCTACTTTTTTGATGAGCGTAGTCATTGGTCGTAATAGTCTATATGCAGTTTACAATAAAAGTGATTATTACAAATTCGTTTTTATTTACAATGATTATTATAATGTAAATAGGATGGTAAGAAAAGTTCTAATTGACAAAAGTATGTAATTTTATTATATAACTTGTTAAACGGGTTGTCACCAGCAATATTAATGTAATATTACTCGTCTTTACAATATATATTTTGAATTGAGGAATATTATGTACTTATCGTAGCTTGTTTTTTATACGTTCCAATTCGTTAACTCTACTTCGCGCGTGCTCCAATCTGTGCCACGCCATTTGCAGCACCTTTTGACTTGCATATCCGGAACCTTCGTGTGGTTGGCCTATGAGAAACATTTATTAAAAACGTATATTGAAAGGAATATGGTGATATCGTTAAATAAATGTACATACCAGTAGAAACCTGCGTGAGATAATTAATCTGTTCACTTAATTTAGATTCCAATTGTCCTAGAGTCTTCAAGAATTGATGCGTTTGCGATTCTGCCTGCTTCAAGCTTGATTTCTCCTTGCTCAATTCCATACAAGCTTGTCCTGTATAATATAAAAGCACATCTTGAATATAAAAGTAACACAGATCTTGTATATCAAGTATCTTTACTTCTAGTATTCACGTCTTTATGTATTCAGCTTTGTTTTGCATGTTGTGTGTAAATACAACACATTTTATTTAATATACCAGAAATTCATACTAGGCTTTCCATTTAATAACACAAGTCGATACAAACATCATTCTATCTTTCTTAACATTCCGGTAAGTAACAAAGATAGAACAATACTTGTGTCGATTTGTATCATCAAATGAAAAGCACCCACTATGGGAACTGTCTAATAGGAGACATCTTTTGTTCAGTGAGAATTGTAGAATGATTCTTGTATCGATATGTGTTTCTTGCTCTCTCTCTCTCTCTGAAAAGCTCTTTAATTAGATCATAAAAACATTTGACAATTACCTGCGCTTTGTAAACACACTACAATGTCTTTCTCGATAGTCTCCAAAATCTGGATCCTTTCCATCGGCGGCGTCATTGTAATTCTTATTTATAACTGCAGTTATCTTTGATTCAAGAAATTCACGTAACACTCTTGTTTTGATCCTTCAGTGAATTTTACTCATATCTTAGCCTAATTTGTTTTGATAACAATAAGAAAATATTGAAAAACGTTAAACAGCGAATGATACTGAATAATGATGATCAAAATACAGGATCTTGGACTGGTTAGAACGAGATACGAATAATAATCTAAGCACAATCTATTTGCTTTATCAATATCAGACTCAATCAGATCAAATCAGACATAACTGAGTCTCTACCTGAACAGCCTAAACTACGACTACCTGCGTCATCTGCGAGTGCGACCAAGTGCGACTACCTGACATGCCTGATATTGTTAGAAGCTGGCGCTAGAGGGCACTAGAGGGTTTTGGATCCTCTACGCATGCGCGTCAAATTCGAAGAATTAAGTTCTTCTCTCCAAACAGTCCAAACAAAAGAACGCAACATGGCGGAATTGACGCGCGTAAACGCTACGAACGTTGAACTATGTAAGTATGTAATTATGGATATCGGGATATATTCGAGAGGTAAAATGAGTAATAATTACAGTCTTGAATTTTGTTTCACGTTATGTATGTACAGTAAATACGTATGGATATTGGAGTCACTGGATCTTAATGCCTCGGGTTACTGACTGTGAATTGTGATTGGAAATTTCATATTGCCGGTGGAGGATTTATAAGTAAGTAAATATATATAGATAGAATTTATATATTCGCCATTTATTATATTTACATAATACATGCATTAATGTGAGCAAACTATATCTATATGAAGAATTAATTCGCTGTACTAATATTTTATTTTTGAACATGCTAGAATAAATAAAAACTTGCGTGTTTATTTAAGGGTGCTTTCCAATAAGACGCATAAATGATACAGTGTAACACAAGTGAATCATTACATTCGTATTTCCAATGTTAAACAAAGAAATGATCACTGTATTATCCTGGCTGCATTCAGCAGAGAAAATTAATCAGTTTGCGCTTAGTGATTTTTTAATATGATTGATTCTTGCCTTTAGTTCTTCACTGGATCTAAGTGTAGGAACCAATTATATTGAAGAATCACTAAGCGCTACTGAGAGATTAGTTTTCTCTGCTGAACGCAGCCAATAGATCTGTTCGACTTGCTTACATTTTTTACACTCAGCATCTCTTGCTTTCTGTCTTTTCAGAAGAATACCAAATATATATCTATCTCATTTTAAGTGTAAAAAGTGTGAAAAAGTGTAAGCAAGTCGAACAGACCAAATGTCTCAATTGCTGCATGGAAAGTACTATAATAAGTGTATGAGTATAGTAGGAATATTTATATAAATTTTGTCCAAAATTTTTTATTGTCAGCATATATACAAACTTTAATTTTTATAAATCTTTGTTTATATTACTATCTTTTTAATAAGCGACGAGCATGACACTTTTTGATTATTACAATCAGAGTGATCATCTTGACAGTATAAAAATAAGCTGATGTCTGTTATTTTTTTTTGTTAATATTTATTAGAAGCCGATGAAAAATAAGTTGAGAGATTAAAATTAATCTATATGTATATTAACGGATATTAATTTACATTTTTACATAACCCTGTAATTATTTATGTGCAGAATGGCTATAGCGCAGTATTATAAATTATACTATTACTAGAAGAGAAAAAATAGAGATGTACAAATAGTTCGAATTCGAATCATATTGGATTCGATTCGATTCGACCTCACAATGCTTTATTCGCACCTTTAAAACAATATATATTTAATATATATATTATACGATTACTAAGTATTCGACTACGATCAGTTCAACTTAACAAATTTATAACTCTTGGAACAGAATCCCATCGTAAGTAGGGAAGTACTTGTCTGTATAAATTACAATTTTGATAACATCAAAGTCACTAATAAGATTACGAAATAATTAATGATATTAAAGGATATCCTATTTGCATTGTTATTAAAAAGCCTCGAATATATTCCAAACGTTACTAAATTATCTGTAGGGTTATTTAAGGACATAGTAACATGTAGTCGATCGTTTTCAGTGAAAAGATCAACTACATTAAACTTCCAATCTTCATTATTTAGCGGAAGTAAATTTGGATTTAACGTAGATGGCATAATTAAACTGGTTTTAAGATTGTCGAACTTTGCCGTGATATAAATAATGTTGAATACTGTTTTTGATTTTTGCACTGCACCGCATGATGACACTGAGTTGTTTGAGCACTGAATTATACTGCATGAACTTACGACAACATTATCATCAACGGGATTATTCGGAATAGAACGATAGCCGTTAAAAACCATTAAACGATATTTTATACTTGGATCTATTTTCGTAATTTCTATTCTAAAGTCGCAGCAGAAGTTATTCTGACAGATATTTTTTGTGACATTTTCTTCCAAAGGAAACGTTTCAAAGGTATCAATGTCATCATATAACAAAAATATTTCATTATTGACTATCATTGCGTTATTTTCCTGTTTCTTCCATAATTCATCGTGCTCCTTCTGATGGTGAGATGGTACAACTTTTTGACTTTTATCCTTTAAAGGATCGTAAAGATCTTCATTGTATTGAGTTCCTATATTTAATTTAATTTTTTTTATTTTGGGTACCTCAAATATCAACATTTCCTTACGCGTAGTTGTAGGCATTATTGCCTTTCCAATTCCTCTACGACCTGCATAAAATATTGTATATATATTTGCACAATGAAATATTTTAATTGCGAAAAATATTCAAAGTATAAAACGTGTAATTTTACATACCTAAGTAAATTCCACTGCCAGCATTGCCAAAACTAGGTCTGTTATAGCCTGAAGCTAAAAGATTTACATTTTCAGCAAATGACCATCCTGCTTGTAATTGTACAGCTAGAATAATTAATAATATTAGTATACATATACACATATATTTTGATAAAATCTTGAGAAAGGAGAAAGGAGAAAAGATTCTGTCATGTATTGTTTACCTGTCAGGAATGGTACTTCAGAAAACCATGCTGTAGGGTATACAAAATCAGTAACTTGATGAATTCTTGTTAATTCTATCGCAGGTTCGTAAAATAATATATCAAAGCATATAAAAGTTCCAAATCTCACTCCAAAATCGGTATCGAAAGTTACTATTTCTGGTATTGTTGTCACATTAAATTGATATTCTCCAAAAAGATTCGTTTTACGATACCTGTTTAATTATAATTAGATGATGTATATTATAAAACTGCGAGATGTCTTATTGCAACTGTAATTATAATGAAGAGCTAGATGTGTTCTAACCTGGCAATAATTTTTCCTGTGCGATCAAATACAACGTTGGTGCTGTAATAAAACATTTTGTCTTTTGGGCAAGGTACGTCATAGCAAGGTGCTTTCTCAGCGATATTGATTACCACATAGATTTTATTACTCTTTGCAGCACATGATATTTTTCTCAGTGCCTGTATTTTCAAAATTTCTTTTTAGATGATTTCAATATATTACATTAGTTTCTTGCGTTATAAAAAATTGTATGGACTGTATATTGGTTATACATACTTCGCTGACTTTAACAGTATCTTGACTGCAAGGTGTATAATTAGATGAGGCATTAGGAACAATAGTTGTCC